GATCAGATTCAACGCAGGTGGTCCAATAGGACCTGCAGTTTTGTACTGAGCCACACCAACGGTAACTTACTGCTATGTGGTTGATCTGAGTTAGCGTGCCAGTTGAATTTGAGCGTCACGTTGCTGTCCGTTGAGAGCTGTGATGGAAGTTGGTGCTGGATAGGAACAGAATACGTCAATCGCCCTTATCTGTTCGCTGGCAGCGCAGAGCACAATAACCGTCTAGGCAAGCCTCCGATGCGCTCGGTTTACCAACTTGAGCGTTAAAATCACCTGAGAGAACAACTATATCGGAGCTTTGACTCAGCCGAATGAGTTCGGTGAGTTTATCATAAAACTCGTCCTTTTTTGCGTCAGAACTACAGATGATCGATACATAGGCTGAAATAATGAACAAACACCTTTTGGTGTTGCTTCCCTTCCGGACGCTGATAGACCCTTGGANCCTTGGAGCCGCATCGCACATAAGCGGCTGTTGATGGGGATCCAATCGAGTAGTGCGGCTTCGGCTGTATTCTTCAGTACAATGCCCACACAACGCTGGCCTACTGAAACGGCTTCGTCAGCACCTGACGTGCGGAGGAAGAACATCGAAGACAACCCCGGTGCACTTAAGTGGCATATAGTACTAGGATCCTGAATTCGAGTCTCCGACACGCAGGAGGCATCCATTTCCAAAAGGTCCATTGCACGCGCCAGACATGCTTGTTGACATACTTGCATCAAAGTCCTCACGTTGAAGACCCCCAGATTCAGTGGCTGATGAGGCTTCAGAATCTGGAATCTATTTTGTGGAAAAAAACTACTTACCGGGCTACCTGGCAACGAACTTTAGCGAGTAACGAACAAGTTGTCTGAAGGAATATTACGGGTTGGAAGTAAGGGTGAAGGGAAGGGGTTGGGTACGGAAGATAAAGAGTTAAGCAAAGGTTGGGATATTTGAGCAGTAGGCCACTTATCACTACCCACACCGCTCGATGCAACGGACAGCGCGGTCCTGATTATCCTGCGCGACGACCGATGCAGTATGGAATTATTTTTCGGTTGTTTGACGGACGGGTGTTCAGCCACTGAGCAGGAGAACGATTAGGGTCTAGTCCAAAGCCTTTAGTTCTGACAAGAACCTGACTGCAAGGCAACGGATAAAGCGAAGTAGGGGCCCATTTATTTGGATCGATTACTCCTCTACCATTTTACCGACTGAGATGCTAACTCGAGTCGAACCCCCAACCTGGAGTATCAGGAAACTGGACTTCGTCTGACCTCTACCCATTGACCTTCCAGGCATGATTACCATCCCGTAGAGCTCGTTGGGTCAGAGGTACACACGCCACGTCAAGGTGCAGTCTCGTCGTGATGGCATTTTAGAGTATCAAGCTTGGATTAGCCCATTCGCGGTTCGAGTCCTGACAGGGACACAAAAAGTACGCACAGCTGACGAGTGCCAAACACGACAAAACAGCTATCCAGTGAGTGCACACTGTCGGTTACCGCGAACATTTCCATCGAATTTGCAAACAGAAAGGATTTACAAAGTTTAGTATTGCAACAGTTAAAGCCACATATTTCTAAAAACCACCAACAGGTCGCCTGCGTATCAGTTCCAATTAATTTACATGAGTTTTTTTAAATTCAGTTCACATGGCCACTACTACATTGTCAATGCGTGGTGATGATGCCCGTTATTGTCCAAAATGGGATATCCCCGAAGGCAGCTAGAGTAATTCAGGTATTTAAAAAATAAACCAACAAGACAATGAATAAATGCAAGAACGTAATCCTCCACAATATTGGGCTTGGTATTCCATTCTCAGTTAGTGACTAGGGGAAAATCTCGTAAACTGCAAGTCAACAGTCGGATCGGATTCCGGGGAACAGAATCTACATAGGTCAATTATGAATGTGTGACATGATGCCACATGGTATTGTGAACGGAGAATGTATTAAATAACGAATGGCAATGGTTAACATACAGTTGCAAGTCATCCGAAGGTTTTGATTCCGTGTTTGATGGAAGCAACGGTGGGTGTGACGTTGGTGGAGGAGGAGCAGGTCGTCTGGGGATGGGAGGTGGAACAGGAGCTTGTGCTTGTGAATTCAAGGGAAGCGGAGCTGAACAAACAGTCGGATTTGGTTCTACATACGCAACGGGCTTTGGCTTGTTCAGCGCGTTGAATCCGAGAGTACATAAATCTGTGGATGACGCCGGTCGGTTGATGGAATCGTTCAAGATGAGGAGCTGTTCATTACCATCTTGAAGCAAATCCAGACAACTGGTGACTGTTTGCATCTCGATCGGGTTGGGTAATAATAAGCCACCACAACTATCAGTTGACATGACAGTGTTCACGGGCGACTGAATCGAATTAGACACAGATGCCACATGAACTGGGCTAGCAGTGGCCGACTGAGAGTAGTATTGCGCGTGTCGCCGCGGCTCATTCACATGTTCAACTGCAGGAATGGTGCCTGGGTCCTCGGATAAACTAAACTTAGTGAATTCTTGTGGCAATCGGTACGAGGCGGCTGTCGAATCCGATGACGTGGTGATTGTCCCTGACGAGATTGACGATGGAGGCGGGGGTCTTCGAGGAGGTGGTGCTGGACGCGGTGGAGCTTGTCGTGTCGGAGCAGCTGCAAGAAGGATAGCAGGATAACTGATATGTTATTTACGGCACACAATGAAGCTAATCGGTATGAGCGAATAGTTGGGTATGAATGTCCAGATTGAAAGAACACGCTTGAAAATATCAACACAAGAAAATCTTGGAGATGAGTTCCTATGGAGAAATCGAGTCGATCTCAAGATAACATAAGAGGAAATCGATGCCGCATAGTGGTAACTGAGTTTCGGTCTCCGGGGTTTGAACTTTAAAAAAGATCAATAAACTTTGGCAGAGAATGGCTTCACCGTTGCGGGGTTCCGCGCCACTCCTATATCACTGAGTCTCCGTCCCAGATAAAAGAACTGAGATTGGCGACTTTCAAGGCCAAATAATAGGCCTTTATGAGCATAATATTCATTACATCCAGTGTTCCTTATCGTAAAAAGTTGACTAGACTATGAAATACCTGATCAGTGAAAAAAATGTGACTCAAACGATTGGACAATGACAGTGCAAGATGACGGAAGAGATAATGAAAGCATGAAATTCAGCGCAGCAGTAAACGGAAGGTTAACGGAATGTTCAATTTGGTCAGAAATACAACGATCGACATGCAAGGCGCGAAACGATTTGTACGAAGTTCGGGGTTGACTGCGGAAAAAGCGGCCGAAATAGCTCCAGGAACAAAGTACTCGTCATTCCAACTGATGGCCAAAACGGTTAGAAAAAGCAGTCACTGTCGGTTTTGAACTCACACTGTAGGCAAAACTAAATGACAATCTTACGACAATACGTGCACAAACCTACCAAGCGGCATCTTTTAAAATTCGATATTGTTAGACCTGATTCGATATACACTAAACAAAGAAAAGATATGAAAGCTAAAGTGGTCGGCTGGATTATGAACTATCAGACAAAGGCGAAAGAGCCCAAGTGAATTCCTCTTGACCACACAATCGCGAGCCACATTTTTTATTCACAAAACTAATATCTAACCAAAAGTGAAAGTCAAAAATCGCTTTATTCATTCTAATGGATGGATTCTCAGCTTCTTGCACTCCAGGATCATTTATCGTCGCATACAGTCACAAAAAAGTGAGAAAAAACAGCATCGTTAATTCAAAGGAGTGTGGAGTAAAAAGTTTGAAAATGAATATCAATTGTGTAGGAATTTCAAAGTCTTCTCTAATGGATACCTTTTGAGCCAGAAATCTCGAAAGATAGGGGATGACGGACAAACGATAAGCAATGATACGAGCATACACCAGTTTATAACGACGTCTTGTTACAGAAGTGGATATGCATTGTTTAAGTTCTGTGTGTAATGGGTGAGTGGTGCCTGATAGAATATTGTTACAGAAGTTATCGCAAGCGGGAAAATGTTTATCGGCAAGTGGAAATAAGGAATACCGCTTGTGCGAGAAATAATTTTAATAGACCGGCGTAGTATTGTGTAATTTTTAGCTTTCAAACCGGCAAATAAAACTGGGGAGCAGTAGAGATGAGTAACAACACAAGAATATACAAATCGAGTGAGTAAATACAATGGAACTTTTAAAGAACGCAAGCGGGTAATAGAGAAACACAACCGTCGAATCTTTACAAAAGTAGAAGTTAAATGTAAGGTCCAAGTGAGATCTTGGCAGATAATGACACCGAGGTATAGTAGAGACTTTACCGGAGAAACAGGCTGGTTTTCAACAATTTCTTTCAAAAGAATGTAGCCGTTCTCCTTTGGTGAAAACAAGAAGGTGACAACGCTACATTTAGATGCATTGAGAGATAACTTCGAAGACGAAGACCATAAGTTTAAGGCAGATAAACTGGTTTGAAGATGTCAGAAGCGGAAATCATCCTGCAATTTTGAACTAATTGTGACATCATCAGCATACCTAAAAAGAAGATCATTTGGGTTAGTGGGAAGGTGACGAATATAGAAAGACAAAAGAAAGGGGGACAGAATTGCTCCCTGGAGCACCCCTGAGTTGATTGGTAGGGAGTCAGGGGTTTTTCCAAGAAACCTTGTGAATTGTGTTCTACAAGCGAAATAATCTTGAAGTAGAGAGAGGGTGTTATCGGACAATCCAGCACCTCGGAGTAGAGACAAAGCCTGCTCCTGTCAACAAAGCTACAAGCGTTACTACAGTCAAGGAAACACACGAAAAGCCTCACCGTGCATGTCTAGGGATTGCAAAACTGAGTTTATCAAATGAGCGAGAGCATCTAAGGGAGAACGTTGTTTGCGATAAGCGAATTGGTTTTCATCTAGCTGCCCAGTATTGGGAATAATGTTACTGAGCATAAACTTCTCGAAAATTTTTAG